CTAACACCATTTAACCTCTGACCCTTACAGCCCATGTCAACTCCTTCTTGCCGTGTGACTCATCACACCCTCATACAACACCCATTTGACCGCATCCAATCCCCGCACTCCCCAGACAAGGCTCCACCACCTCCTGCCGCCACCTCAGTCCCAGTGCAAAAATCGGCCACCACGGTTGCTGGAGCTGAGCCGCCACAAACAACAAGCTTGAGCTCCAGCAGCCGTCGCATCCTGGCAGTCAACCGTTTGCGGACCAGCACTGGTCCACAGACTGGCAGTTGGGAACCACTGCCTTGAAACACAGAATGGGGATACAAATTCTGATACAAAGAAATACCACTTAATGACTGAATGCACTTGTTACTTAAGACACAGAGTTTTTAAGATCAGCCTTTCTTTTTGAGAGACACACATAACACAACTTTCTGGCTGTGTGACAGAAATGGGAGACAATCAGTGTTCTTATTGGCAAATTCAATTTGAGATCCACATTTTTCCTGGGCAAGTCAACATTTTTTTTTAAAGCCTGTTGGTGATAGTTTGAGTATGGGAGGTGAGGGGTATCAAATCTCTACCATGTCTGTTATGTCTGAACAAGCTGAACCTCTCTAGTCCTGAACTCTCTGGTCTAGCAACATTCATGATCCAGAATGATTTTAGTTAGTTGGATGTCCACTTAGAGTGAGTGTGGCAAAGTTTCCCCCAGTCCCATAAAGTTTGTTTACAGTCACCAGTGCAGGTTCTCAGTGTTCAGTGCTGCTGTTTAGCTATAATTTACCCTTAAAAGTCTTCTAAAAGTCCAGTAATCAGTGGAAGTGTTGGAAATGCTACTAGACAATAATGACTTCCTGTGGTTTGGCAAATTCTCTGATTTGGCACCAGTCAGTTCCCAAGGGTGCCAGACCTAGGATTCAATCTGTAATTTTTCTCAGTCCTTCTGCCTGATTTATATGTGCAGGGCTCAATAAATATGCTTATCTACTCGCTCGTGGCAAGTAGATTTCAGCCGGTCGCCCTGTTTACTGGCAGTCCACGCATGCGCAGTGCGGGTCTCGCGCATGCACGGTGCAGGGCTGGTGAGTGGTTTTCGCCATGATCGTTGAGCCCTCTATATGTGTGTACTGTTGGTCTGTAATCTGCAGGCAGTGATATTAAATTCCCGGTCACCACATTGAATTAGTTTAATATCACTGCCTGCAGATTACAGACCAGGGTGGGCAATAATTTTTGAAAGGGGGCCACTTCAGAAATTTCTCAGGTAGCCTTGGGCCACCCCAGAAGGAGCCTTGGGCAGAAGTAGTGAGGACAGGAGACTTCTTGTGCTTTCACCCACACCCTGATTGGCCTGGAGTGGGAGGAGCACAAGAAGTCTTCCCCTTTCCTTTCCTGCCCCCTAGAGAGAAATGCCAGCTGTTTTAAAACAACTGGTGGTTCCCTTTAGGTGCCCTGCAGGAGGAAACCTCACGCGCTCCGTCTGCCCCCAAGGCCAATCGGGACCTAGTGGCGGGGGAGAGCGTAAAGTCTCCTTGCCCCTGCAAGAGCGTGCAGTGTCTAGAAAGACAACTATTTTAGAACAGCCAGTGAGTGTCTCTAGCCTCTGCATGCTCCTGGCAGGGTGGGGGACAAGATGCGAGAGACTTCATGCACTTCCCTCCCCCAGGCCCTGATTGGCCTGTGGGCAGGGAGTGCACAAAGTTTTCTCTACCACCCTGCCAAAGGAGCACGGCAAATAGAGATGCACACTAGCTGTTTTAAAACATCTGGCATTTCTCTCTCCACCGTGCGCTCTTGCATGGGCGAGAAGACTTTGCTTGCTCCTTTGCCCCCATGCCCTGATTGGCCAGGGGTGAGGAAGCAGCAGGGTGGCCATGGGCCAAATCCATCCTGTGGAGGGTCCTTTGCCCACCCCTGCTTTATACCTTGCTCCTAATGATGTCAATGGGACTCCTCACGTGCTTAACTTTAATACATGTTTAATCCTACTGACATTATTAAGAAAACATGAAAGTTTAACATGTGCTTAACTGTTTGCAGGTTTGGGTTCTTAGCCTCTTGGAATGATGGGTAAACTTTAATCTTGGGTTTTCTTTATATGAAACTGCTTTGAGAAAAATGTAAATATATTAATATTCTCTTATCTACTGTCTACAGGCCCCTGTAAAGATTGCAGTAATTTTCAAACAACTGAGAGTTCTTATTGAGACTGTTTTAAAGAAAAAGCTTGAAAATCCAAAAATGTCCCTGGAAGGTAATTTTATTGCTATATTATTCATATATTATACATGTGATACATATAGATTGGTAATGCACGTGTATAATTCTTTAAACAAATATGATAATAAACTTCATCTTTGCTTAAGAGACCACATTGTAGCCAGGGTGCGACTAATTCAACTCCCCTTGAGAAACAGTAACTCATCAGTTCATTAATGAACTTGGGTCTCTTCCATGGTATCACCCCAAAAATCTGGGGCTGTATGGGTGTGGCTACAAAGCACCCTAAACTTGAAATAAGACACGCAGTTTGCGCTATGCAAATTGCATATCTTATTTTGAAACTATTTCAAAATAGCTTATTTTGAAATTTGGCACATCTACTTATCCTTCATGCAATGAGGTTTACCCGGATGGCAAAATAGCGCACCTGTTGTTTAAAAAAATATTTAGAAATAATGGGCAACTTGTATAGATTCAGGGTAGCTATTTCAGGATACAGGAGGTATCCCGAAATAGCCATGCAGCGTAGACTAACCCTATGTGATTGTCTCTGGCATAGACTCACTTGTCTACAATCAGAACATTAATGGTATCAGTAATAATGGTTACTTTCCATTTGTTAGTGTTTTCTCATGGGCATAGATGAATTCTCACACTCCACTCATACTCCAAAGCTGGGCCACAGCTGTACGACAGCATCTAATGTACTGATAAACTTACCAATAAATAGTGTGGGATAGACTACATGACAACCCCAAAAATTAAGGATAAAGGGGCATAATCCAAACCTTGGAGGAATATCAAGAAATAAAATCCTAAATGCAGTGAAATGTTAAAATGTATCTATGGAAGTCCTATTTTCTTGTCTTTCTCCAACTTCCTTATGCAGGCAATTTATTAGCAAACTATACAGCATACCAGTCTTTAGTGTCTATAAGGATAATTTCTTACCTGTGAATTTGGGTAGTTGCATTCTTCCTTCAATATTGAGTCTGATACAGCCTCCCCTAATTAAAGCTTTCTCTGTTAAACTGTTGAGAGCTACATATGCATCTCTTCTTTTTTGTTAAATTTAAGTTCTGTTCCATTAACTCCTGTTTTTTCATCCCCAGAGGACAAGATTTTACACATCATCAAAGAACTGATAAAAACAGAGAATGCCAACTGAAACTGATGTTCAGTAACAAACTACAAAGCTCAAAGCTTCAATATTGATAGGGGAAAAACTTAAAATGTGATGAATACCAACTGGAAAAACTGCATGAATTTGACAAGTAATTTTGTAGGTTATTTTTAATTACGAGCATAATGTATTATGTTTACAATAAATTTTGGTGCCATTTGTTTGAATGTATAAATGATGGTAGTAATTCCATTTTCTTCAATATAAAAATGAACATGACCAATTCAAATGTGCTTTGTTTCAGTTTACTAAAAATACCTTAATGTACTAGAAATTCAAGATCAGGTTCTGGATATGTATGAAATAGCTTTTAACTGCTCTACAAAATAGCTTGTCCTGTTTAGATATGTAAAAACTGATCACAAAACAGATTTTTGTTCATTAAGAACGTTGTCATTTTTTTCCTGTGTGGCTCACTCTGAGTTGAAAACCACAAACTCCAGATCAGTAGTCTTTAGCTTGGGAATTTCACTAGGCTTTTGAAATCCTTTCTCTGATTCATTTAACACTGAGCCTGAAAACAGTATTTACAGCCAGATGACTAATGCTGAAGTTTTCTTAATTTAGTAAATATTGATTAATGCTTCCAGGGGCTAATAGTATTTTCCATCAGTGTAAGGAGAAAAATCCAATGTATACTTGAAAGATCACAGTCTACAAGATAGACCAGAATATGTTGAGCCATCTAACAAACATTCATTGGTAGGAACCGCACCAATTTACAAAAGTCATGCTGTAAGAGGGGAAAAAATACAGCTGTTCAATACCACTAAAAAGGCTATCTCATCAGCCACCTGCATGCTGTAAGAGGGGAAAAAATACAGCAAGAATTCTGTAAAAATAGCCAATTCTCCTTCTAGCTACACTTCCCCAGGTTGTGAAAAGGCTATTAGTGTTCTGAATTTCTTGAGAAGCTGGCTGCTGCTAGTTTTTTTTCCTTTCACTGCTTTAAGGTATATTGAGTTGCCTTTTATACAAAATAACAGCTTATACATTGAAAATATAACTTGTAATCTTTAATTTGGAGCCAAAATCATTATTTATTTTCTAGATGTATTCATATCTTACCCTCAGAGAGAGGTTTTTCAAACCTATATGCAGAACTTTTGTGCATGACACCACCTTTGAAAAAAATAATTAAATGGACAATCCCATTGATCAAAGTTTAAGATCATAAATCGTTTAGCTGAATAACTTTGGATTGCTTTGATATACATCTTACTTTTTTACAAAGTTTAAGATCATAAATCGTTTAGCTGAATAACTTTGGATTGCTTTGATGATATACATCTTACTTTTTTATATCATGTTTTTCCTCACAAAATTAAAATAATAAATTTATTTCATTAGACTGATTACAGAAGAAGATGTCTTCTCTCACACCTATCTGTAATGTGGCTTAGTTAGTTAATGCCTATTATGCCCGCTGGTGTGTAGGGTAACAATGAAGGTTCTCCATTTTTTGTTTCTTTGGCCATTTTCTCCAGTGTGTCCCAGTTGTAATTCATTTTCTTTAACATGTTAAGTGTAAATTAGTCTTATTTTTAAATGACTAACCTCTATTGAATGTCTTGGCTAAAAAAACATAAAAATAAGAATAATGATTGTGAAGAGTAAAATTTTGCCATTTATGTCCGAGAGTGGTAGTGAGACTTAAAATTCCTCTGCAGTGGGTGGAGACGGTCCTTATCAACTTACCTATCTATAGTATGTTTAGAGAGATACTGCCTCATCCACTTACCCATCTTTTATTGGATCCACTTCTGTTGATGAGAGACCAGCTTTAATAGAGCTCTTCGCCACTTGTGTAAGCTCTAATGCTTGTCTGTCTCTCTCCAACAGACGGCTAATAAAAGATGCTGTCTCAGCTACCTCTTTTTTACATCCTGGGTGGCATACTGCACCACTACCACCATATATAATAATCTGATTTGTTGTATTCAACCTAATAAGCAATCTTACTGATAAAAGCTATTGGAAACACAATCTACTGGAAAAGGGATCAACCTGCTACACTTAAGAATAGAGGTACAGAAATGACGAATGCTTAGAATGACCTTCAGCTTCTACCATGTAGTTTAGCCAGGGATGCTGGAACAATTTTTATAGTTGGGTGCTGAGAGCTATTGAACCATAGTATAAACCCTGCTTATAATAGAAACCATTTCAAGGCCTGGGGTACTACAGCACTTATGAATGTAGCTCAGTTCTTATCCTTGCTCCCCCTGTAGACAGACAGCCTTTGTATGATCTTCTCCTATATGGTCTATTTCAGCCCTTGGGCAGCAATTTTGATCTACATAAAGCATTTTGCAGACATAAACTAAGTACAACAAAAGTTGCGATTTCTCACAAAATTCACTGTGTGCCTCTTTGGAAAATGTATTTTATTGTGAAGGGGTAGCAGGAAAACCCTTGGCCTTGTCACAGTGTGGGGGCCCATTTCCTGCACTCTTCTGGTACCTAAAGCAATCATCTTTTTTTATTCTTTTTTTCTTGACCTGTTTTCTCTCCCACTCACCTTCCTCTGGGAGTTATTCATTCACTCCCTCTTTCTGCAGAACTTTCCAAGCCCACAGATGTGGTCAAATCCCATAATCTTGGTACAGGTGATAGCAGCTGCTTGAATCAGGAGCATTATTTGTGGTTCTCCTTTCAATTGGTCCCTAAGCAAAGATGGTGTCTGGCTGTGTTAGGGGAAAGTACCACTGGTAATACAGAATATTTTTTAGAGATTCATATTCTGTATATTGCTTCTGTCTCATCTGTAATAGAAAGTAACTGAAATAGGAGACCTCCTTGTGTAGGATGGCAACAGGTGAACCTGAAAAATGGCCTGACAGAACGGTTATAGGCACAAACCCCAGTTCTCTTCACAGCCTCATCCCTCCCGTGGCTGCCTGTGCTCTTTTATTGCGCTAATCTTAGCTACTCGAGGGAAGGGGCGTTACAACTCGGTCTCGTGTGGCGCGCTGTCCTTCGCTCTTCAATCGCCCGACCGTACCGTACCCCGGCAGTCAGGGGCAAAACTCCCTGACTGCAGCGGCCGCAGGCCTCTTGCAGTGAAACGCACCAGCTGCTTATCCCTGAAGGGAGTGTCCCGGCGTGGCAACTCCTGGCCTAGGGGATTCAGGTGCTTCCGGAAGGGCGGCTGAGAGGTGCCCGGCGCGGCTCTCCCCGAGAGGCTGACAGACGCGCTGTCACCGTACCCCGGCAGTCAGGGGCAAAACTCCCTGACTGCAGCGGCCGCAGGCCTCTTGCAGTGAAACGCACCAGCTGCTTATCCCTGAAGGGAGTGTCCCGGCGTGGCAACTCCTGGCCTAGGGGATTCAGGTGCTTCCGGAAGGGCGGCTGAGAGGTGCCCGGCGCGGCTCTCCCCGAGAGGCTGACAGACGCGCTGTCATTACTGCCCCCTCCCGCCCCTGCAGATGCCGGCGGCGCCCGGGGCTCAGCTGGGGCTGAAGCTGCCAGAGCTGGTGCCGGCTAAGCTAGTGCGGCCGCGCTTTC